GAAGGGGCCGCGAGTGAAGATAAAGCGGGGGAAAGGGGCGGAGCTTCGTGCCCTCTGACTTCCTTCCGAAACGGCTGGAGCCCACCGCGCAGGCGCGGGCCAAGGAACGTCTGCGGAGCGCCTCGCTGCAGGCCCGCGGTTTTTGTGCTTGCTGTGACCCGTTAGCTATAAACCGGAATCGAATGCACGACAGTGGGAAAACTATTTGCAAACTTTGTGGGTGCCGCATTTGGTTCAAAAGGTTGTGTGTGTGTATGTGTGTGTTTTATGTTGAGCCCCTCGCGATCAGGAGTCTAGGCACAAGTTTTTATTTTACCAAAGGTGCCTCCATTTCTCTCAAGGACAAATCTCGACCTTCGCATTTTTTCCCCTTCACATTTCTTAACACACTTGCTCAGGAGTGGCCTGTACACAGACCCGAATAGCTTATTAAACACCGATTGTGGCCTCAAACGCAAATCAAATGCAGCTCCCCTGCCTCCACCCGCAATCCCACTTCCCATCTATAACCAAAGCAATGACCATTATGACACAGAGCTTTTTTTTTCTTTAAACTTCATGGAATAAGTCTACTAAAAATCATTTCTCACTATAACCCTGCATCACAATATCCATTTGTGAGAGGTTCATAGTCTGCATGCACAGGATGGGATAATGGATTCTTGGTACGTACATCGTCTCTGCTGGACCTCATCTGGAAATGACCTCAAGGAGAAATCTGCCCCTCTCAACTGAACCCTAAGCACTAAAACCAGCTTATCGTTGAATATAAGCAGTAGCTACAGTTAGCAACTGCTATACCCAAGGTTAAAAGTGCCTGCTGGTTAACAAAATTATTTGCCTGTTTTGAAGCTACTAGGTCATGAAAACTGAAATGCTCTTACTAATCACTTAAATTGAGCTCACAGTTGGGATTCTGTCTCTGAGCTATTTTCAAGATAAAGGCACCGCCTAAAGATACCAGAGTCATTTGCTTTAGGAACAAATTTAATGAGTGACGGCCATCCACACAGGAAGAAGACAGTTGGGGCTAGGCAGAAATAAATAACACATTCAAATGGTTCAGAAAGGCGCCTAGTCTTGCTAAAAGTTCCATCATCAGAATAAAAGGACCTTCATTTGGAAAGATGGCGTACAGAACTCCTCCGTCAGAATCTGGAAAGCACGATACTTAGGTCCAGGTTCGGTCAATGCAAGAATCATAACATTTGAAGATGAGGGGAACCAAATTTAACTTACAGGCACCCTAGAACCTTTCCATTCCAGGTGAAATTAATCTACTTCTTCAATGGTGGGGCCTGCAGCAGGCCTTCCTGATGGATACCCCGTTCCGCAGGCAGGTCCCGCGCATCCGCTCTGGTAGAGTTTTGTAATGACTGGGCTGCACACCTTCTCCAATTCTTTTCTCTTGTGTTCAAACTCATCTTTGTCAGCCAGTTGATTGGCCTCCAGCCATGAAAGGATCTCATTGCACTTTTCTAGAATATTCTTTTTATCAGACTCACTAATCTTGCCCTTCAAGCCTTCGTCACTCACAGCACTCTTCATGTTAAAAGCATAGGATTCGAGAGCATTTTTGGCAGAAATTTTGTCCCTCTGGACCTCATCCTCAGCTTTATACTTCTCGGCCTCCTGCACCATGCGCTCGATCTCCTCCTTGCTCAGGCGGCCCTTGTCGTTGGTGATGGTGATCTTGTTGGCCTTGCCTGTGCTCTTGTCCGTGGCCGTGACGTTCAGGATGCCATTGGCGTCGATGTCGAAGGTCACCTCGATCTGGGGCATGCCCCTGGGGGCGGGCGGGATTCCAGTCAGGTCAAAGCGGCCCAGTAGGTTGTTGTCCCGCGTCATGGCCCTCTCGCCCTCATACACCTGGATCAGCACCCCGGGCTGGTTGTCCGAGTAGGTGGTAAAGATCTGTGTCTGCTTGGTGGGGATGGTGGAGTTGCGCTTGATCAGGACGGTCATCACACCCCCAGCCGTCTCTAAACCTAGGGACAGGGGAGCCACGTCCAACAAAAGCAGGTCCTGTACCTTTTCAGACTTATCACCCATCAAAATGGCTGCCTGTACTGCAGCTCCATAGGCCACTGCCTCATCGGGGTTGATACTCTTGTTGAGATCACGGCCGTTAAAATAATCCTGCAACAGCTTCTGCACCTTGGGGATGCGAGTGGAGCCCCCGACCAAAACAATATCATGAATTTTAGCCTTGTCCATCTTGGCGTCGCGCAGAGCCTTCTCCACCGGCTCCAGCGTGCCGCGGAACAGGTCTGCACACAACTCTTCAAACCGAGCCCTGGTGATGGACGTGTAGAAGTCGATGCCCTCGAACAGGGAGTCGATCTCCAGGTTGGCCTGGGTGCTGGACGACAGGGTGCGCTTGGCCCTCTCACAGGCGGTGCGCAGCCGCCTCACGGCGCGCTTGTTCTGGCCGATGTCCTTCTTGTGCTTCCTCTTGAACTCCTCCACGAAGTGGCTCACCAGCCGGTTGTCGAAGTCCTCCCCGCCCAGGTGGGTGTCGCCGGCCGTGGCCTTCACCTCGAAGATGCCCTCGTCGATGGTCAGGATGGACACGTCGAACGTGCCCCCGCCCAGGTCAAAGATCAGGACATGTCGCTCTCCCTGACCTGCTTTGTCCAACCCATAGGCGATGGCCGCGGCTGTGGGCTCATTGATGATTCTTAGTACATTGAGTCCTGCGATCACACCTGCGTCCTTGGTGGCCTGGCGCTGCGAGTCGTTGAAGTAAGCGGGCACGGTGATCACAGCATTGGTGACCGAGTGACCCAAGAAAGCCTCGGCCGTCTCCTTCATCTTGGTCAGCACCATAGAGGAGATTTCCTCAGGATAGAAAGCCTTTTTCTCTCCTTTGTAGGAAACCATGACCTTGGGCTTCCCCCCATCGTTGATTACCTGAAAAGGCCAAAGTTTCATATCGGATTGCACCACAGGGTCATTAAATTTCCTTCCAATCAAACGCTTGGCATCAAAGACAGTGTTCTGGGGATTCATGGCCACCTGGTTCTTGGCCGCGTCGCCGATCAGGCGCTCGGTGTCGGTGAAGGCCACGTAGCTGGGGGTGGTGCGGTTGCCCTGGTCATTGGCGATGATCTCCACCTTGCCGTGCTGGAACACGCCCACGCACGAGTAAGTGGTGCCCAGGTCGATGCCGATGGCTGTTCCCTTGGGAGCAGCCATGGTTTTCCGAGACCTGTGGAGAAGGAGTGAAACAGAATTTCAGCAGAGTACTTTGTGGCAGGCTAGAGGAGTTTCCCTCAACTGAAGGTGGGCGAGGGGCTGTGGACTGATTTCCATTTCTCTCAGGGTCTCATGCAACTGTCCTGTGCCTATGGGTCTGTGATCTATGTTACTATGGAATCGAATCCGTCTCTTATGGATGACTTTATGTCTGATCTCCTCAAAAGGCATTAACCTCAACGTGGGTTTTGCTGCCCTCGTGGGCAGGACCCTTTACCTCCCATCCCCTATGGGGATTCATCGGGGCTAAGTTCAGGCCAGTTTTGAGCGTGTAGGAATCCAATCAAATTCTTTACAGATTTTCTCCTAAGGGAAAGTGGAGTGCTCCCGGGCACTCTCATCCCCTTAGTCATCTCCTGAGTAAAAAGCCTGCTCTGGGAAGTCAATGACTGCCAAAAAAAAAATTTTTTTTAAATGGGGTTCTGGATCATTCTGTAGAGAAGTCCAATCCCAGGCCACTCCCCCAGCCCCTTTTCGCCAGTACTAACCAAACTGCCACCCGTGGAGCTCCATAATTTATAGCTAAACAAACGACAGAACTTTCCAGAACATTCTCAATCCAGCAAGGACCCGAGTGCCCTGCTTACTCCCACCTCATTCCAGTGAAAGGGATCCTGGCTCACCTATTTCCCTGCCGCCTTCGCTCCAGTTTGGAAATATTCCGGCTGTGGAGCCCCTTCCAGGAGGGTTCCCCTTAGCATCCAAACAGCAAAACGGGCGTCCCCCCTCCCCCCTCCCCTCCCTGCCAGGCACCTCTGAGCCAGGCCCTGGGCCTGTCACCCAGATTCCAATCTGGCCGGTGATGTCAGCAGCAGCAAATCCATTGTAACGTTACTCAAGGGAGGCAGCGTCAACGCAGGCATCCCGCCCGCTGGCCCGCGCCCCGGCTCCCAGACTGAGTCAGGGGGCGAGACCCAGTGGAGTCTGGAGCTTTCTCGGCCAGGACACCAGAAGAGCCTGGAATATTCCGGGGCCGGCTGCCCCGCGGAGCGCGCTGATTGGCTCCGCGGGGAGAAGGCGGGGCTTGGAGGCGACGTTAAAAGCGCAGCGGCCCCGGCCTCGCAGCAACTCACTCCTGCGGAGACCTGCTCCTGCGCACTCGCCGCCTCTCCT